TGTGTGTGTGTGTGTGTGTGTGTGTGTGTGTGTGTGTGTGTGTGTGTATGTGTGTGTGTGTGTGTGTGTGTGTGTGTGTGTGTGTGTGTGTGTGTGTGTTTGTGTGTGTGTGTGTGTGTGTGTGTGTGTGTGTGTGTGTGTGTGTGTGTGTGTGTAAACATATATATATATATATATATATATATATATATATATATATATATATATATTTATATACACACACACTAATATATCCAATTTTAGAATAAAGTTTTAGAATAAAGTGGTAACATGTGTGAATTTTATTTCACATATTTGACAGACATTTTTTTAACATAAGTTTATGTTGATCATAATAAAATATAAGATATTATCTTTAAACTGTACAGTATTTTCAAAGTTTCAGCATTTTTGTTTATTTGTCATTATGAGAATTAAAATCCCTAAGCCCCTCAAAAGATCATTTTATATTCAAAACAAAACAAAGCACCACATTATTACTTTTGAGAAAGTGGATCAAATTACATTAAACAATACAAATATGTTTTATTATTAAATTTATTTTCCAAATTTGGCTTTTTTTTTCTGCATTAGTTCATTTATATTCTAATGCATTACCCCCATGTTTTCATGGATAACGCTAAAAGAATTAAAAATAATAATAATAATAATTAAAATAACTTTAGTGTGTAGAAATTCTAACAATAAAGCAGAATAAATACAAAATACTCAACGTCTTCCTTCGTGGCAGATGAAATGGACAGCTTTACCCTCAGATCCAGAGTATTTGTTTGTAACAGTCGTCCAGAGCCACATAGACAGAAGAAAGAACCTGACTCCATTAAGTACAAAGTAAGTTCAGGGAAAAAAGTCATAAACTGTCAGATAAAGGGCCTCATACTGCTGCATGGAGTGGAGATCAAGCCGAAAATTCAGTCTTTTTTGCCATTTAAGACTTTCTTGTTTGAAACGGAATAAAGTGGAGTTAAATATGATTGTGTCAGACAGCAGGTGAAGGGTTGAGTCTGCGTGGCATCAGACCATGAGAAGAAACGCAGCATCGGCCTGAGAGCCATGCTATGTCGAGGGCTCAACACACACAGAATATGCCGCAGACCACACAGGCTAATTAGTACGATTACTGCACAGCTGGATTGGCCAGACGTTTTACTGGGTTTTATCAAAAGGATCACTCGCTCCACGTTGGCTTCATCCCGACAACTTCTGCTTCAGCAGAGTCGCTCTATTTTAGGACTGCAAGACAGTCTGGGTCATAGCTGTCTAAATTTAAGAGTGGGAAAACTGAAGCAGTGTTTGGTGAAGTCTTCCTCTATCTGTGTTTAAACCCAGCTGCATTTCTTGAGAAAATGCAGGGTGAGCGCTTGTGAGTTTGATGATTTGAGCTGAAAGCTGCTGATCAAGTTGAAACCAGCTGAAAAGGTTTCATAGCTAAACTGTTAATGCGCATTGAATTTGAACAGCTGACGTTTGCTGAAAGTATGAAAATAAAAGTGGAAAGCAGAAGAAAAAAACTGCAGAAATGTGTAGAAAAGGATGAAAAGAGCAGAATAAGATGAAATAGAGAGGCTGAATAGATTATAAAAATCTGAATAGAACAAAAAAGAAACTTAAATGAGCAGACAAAAGCTTAAAAATACTAAAAAGTAGCCGAAACAGGAGAGGAAAACTTAGCAAAAAGAAGCTGAAAAAGGCTGAACCTGAACAAAAGATGAAATGAGCAGTGAAAGGTTTTAAACATCGCAGATGTTTTGAAGAATTTGACAAGAGCACGATTCATATTCAATAATAAAAACAAAACCAAAAAAAGCTAAATATAACAAAAAGTAAACATTGCACAAATACCAAACGTCAGAAAGAAGGTACGGAATGAGTTGAGCGTTTTGCTCTATGAATTGTTGAAAAGCACAAACTGCAGATAAAGATATGTGTTGAAAAAAACACACACAAAATAAACTGATCTCAGTCGTGTGAATGTTTTTAAAGTATTCACACAACTAAGAAACCATTGAAAACATTTTAAAGGGTGTCAATTAAACTGCTGCTGAAATATGAAGTCCAACAGAAATGTGGGATGTGTGTAATTCAATTCAATTAATTTTATTTATATAGCACCAAGTCACAACAGACGTCATCTCAGCGCACTGAACAGAAACATTCATATATAAAATAATAATTTAACATTATTTATCTGATTTATCTGAGATTAATTATCTCAATGCACAAAGGCTGATGCCTAGATGTTTAATACTAATATTATTAATAATAACTATTTAAAAATCCCATTAAAACAAACACAGATGCAACAAGACTGTACATTTAAAATCAATATTTAAAACGCATTAAAAGTATAAAACTGTTAAAACAGTAAAACCACTAAAAACAATAAAAACTAGAGTGTAGTTTAAATTGATGTAGAAAGAGAACCAAGGTCAAAAGATTTGTTAAAACTGCTGCCAGTGGCTTATTGATGTCACTATGGTAACCATACACCTGTGTCTGTCACTCCCTAACAGCACTCCTAATAGGATTGGCAGACAGAAGTGTAAACATAAAGTAAGCAAACACCTGGGTGAAAACTATAAGTTTTTTATTAAAAAAAAAAAAAAAAAGAATACTTGCATAGTTTCAGGTGATTTTTATTTATTTTTTGCTTTTAGTGTTTTATGTAGGAGATGTTCATCCTTCCATCCTTCCTTTAACTTACCCACTTGTTCCTTTCCTGGTCACAGGAGTAAACAGTCCCCACATCCAGCAGTCACTGTGTGATAGGCAGGGGACATCCTGGACAGGTCTCCAGTCCATCACAGGGACACATAGAGACAAACAACCATTCACTCTCTCACTCACACCTAGAGACAATTTTTCATTCAACCTTTATTTAGACAGGTAAATCCAAAAAAAATCGGTTTCTTGTGTAAAGTATCGGTCGATTTCCCAAAATTAAGGAAATCGGGGCTGATTTATCGGTGCACCGCTAGTAGTAATCAATTTGAAAATGTTAGAAATGTAATTTTCTCTTGGTGTTTGTACAGTTTGACAAAAAGACAAAGACGGTATCTTACCTGACGGGTAATCAAAGTACCTGACGGGTAATCAAACTACCTGACAGGTAATCAAAGTACCTGACGGGTAATCAAACTACCTGACGGGTAATCAAAGTACCTGACGGGTAATCAAACTACCTGACAGGTAATCAAACTACCTGACGGGTAATC